CTCTCTCTCTCTCTCTCTCTTTCTCTCTGTCGGCTTCCATAACATTCGAAACCAATGAAAATCAAATAAATAAATTATAGGGAGCACGGCGAATTTGAATAAATTATCGAATTTGTGCAAACAACCACCAACCATATCCCCGACCGCAATCCAGCCATTTGGTGACTCTGTGTTTTATCCTCCTTTTTTTATATATATACCATATTAAGTCGGCACTGGTCTTAGTTGTCAGAAATATGACGCGACAAAAAATAAATAAACGACAGCAAAATTGTGGCACAATTCGATTGACACGTCTTTGTGCCGTTGTGAATGTCGCAATGTTTCAAAGTGAATTATTCGGAATTTTCCTCTGTTGGGTACGATTGCTCTCGGCATAATGATGAGGACGCATGTCCGATCCACACCTCAAGTTGGGGTTCTCAACCATGCCAAATGTAAATGTCATACATGCACAACGAACTGCAATGATTTCATGAAGCCATTTGCACAGTGAACGGGCTACAAACAGTTTTCCATTTGAAGAAACTTTGTGACTGAGCAGAAAATCAAATTGAAAAGTTCTAATTAAAACTTTTAACGTCATATTCGAGTAAAAATCTTTCCCATTCCATTGTGGAAAAAGTGTGTGCGACGCAGAATGCTGGCCTTTGTAATTTATTTCAATTCGATGTTTGGGTGAAGTGACTTCAAAAGATCCAACCTATTGAAAGTCATTTCAATGGAAAAAAACAACGTCAAATGATGATTGCAATGGCTTATTTTTTTTCGGGCATAATCCATGCTCCGTGACACATTGATTTTTGATCTCACTGGTGAGAATTGCGTTAGTTTAAATGCTCATGTGCTTTTGATGGAAATCTCGTGGCATTGGTCCACGGCGTATAAATAAGTTATTGACTGTCTTATTTTCTCTCGCACAGCTGTGTCAACTCTCACAAAGTCTTCGCAGGTTTTCCATCGGATTAATACGAAGTAAACGAAACGAAGCGAAACGAATAAACAAATTAAATTGCGTCGCTGTGACCAGACGAGACAATCGAAATGCAATTATAATCCCTTTTTTTTTCTTTGTTTTGGTTCAGTTTTTTTGTCCTTGTGGTAGACAACAAAAATGACTTTATCACATGCCGTTGAATCCAAATCAGATATTTAAAAATGTGCGAATTTGTCAAAATGTCCATTGGGTGGGTGTTCGGAGCGCGTTGTGCTGTGGCATGCTCTCGATGGCTGTTACAAATGAACATGTTAATTCCATATCATTTGATAATATTCGGTCTGTAATCCCATTGAACGTTCACCCGATTTGGCTCCAGCCATCCAATTGCTTTCGCTGTCTCTGTTTCTATTAAATAAATTCTATTTCGGTCTCTGGTCCACACTGTTTTACTCTGCGTGTCTCATTTTTGTGTGAACGCGTGTGTGTGTGTTTTCGTTTCTCATTGTTCCGATAGTCGCACAATTGATCT